AAAGTGTGAATGCTTGCAACATTCTTTAACCGCTGCTGTAATGCACACATGACATTTTTGCAAAAAAGAAAAAAGCTAACAGTCATACTACTGACATTCTTTCTCATTCTACGTTACACGTGAAATACTCTAATACATAAACATTGTAGGCAACAGACTGTCGCTGTGCTACACACACACACTGACCGCATTGAACACTTTTAATGGTGTGAGAAAAACACTGAAAACCTGGGATTGATAATTTTAGTTGTTTATTTACTTGTTGTGCTGAAGACTGAACCCGGAGCCTTTAGGCAAGCACTCTACCACTGAACCCTCTCCCCTGCCCCTAAAAGTTTCACATATTCGTATATTTTGTTTCAAATTATAATGTCAGCAATACATGTTTTCTTTCTGCTGAGTCTTTTCCAATCTGAAACCGCTGCCATTGATTCTTCTTCTTCCTCCTCTTTCTCCTTCTTGCCTCAGATCCTGAAATTAGAAACCAGAGATTCTAACACAAGAAAAAAATTGACAGCCAGGGCTACACAGAGAAACCCTGTTTCGAAAACAAACAAACAAACAAACAAAACAAAACAAAACAGCAACAACAACAAAAAAGGAAGAAAGGAGGGAAGGAAGGGAGGGAGGAAGGAGGAAGGAAGGAAGGAAGGAAGGAAGGAAGGAAGAAAGGAAGGAAGGAAGGAAGGAAGGAAGGAAGGAAGAAAGAAAGAAAGGAAGAAAGGCAGGGAGAGAGAAAGTGGATTGAGAGAAAGGTGTGGCTACACTCTTCCTGTTTTGAGAAAGTCAGAAATGATTTGGATAGCGGGAATACAAAGCCCCTCAGAGAGTGATTCCAACATACCAATTTCTAGGGCAGACTTCTTTGATGGACCTGGTGTCAGAACTGCTAACCTAAACCAAGGAAAGAAATACACATTGGACGTGCAGGCTTCCTAAAGATAATGGTCTTCAGGGCTTCAAATTGGAGCCGTCTTCTCCCACGATATTTTAAAGTGAAAATTGTAGGGAATTAATGCCCTCTAAATTCACTTGGGTGTGGCTCCTGCATGTCCATTCATTGACTGCTTTTGCCCAACAGATTCTAAAATTAGTTAATGTTATTTCCCATCTGTTAGGAAAAAGTCAAGATAATGGCCTAAAACAGTGGTTCTCACCTGGGCATGCCTTGTCAAAGTGTTTCAGGCTCCTGAGCAGACTAGGGAAAATTTCTGAGACAGTTGATGTGACTCCAGGCATTTTATTTTATTGTTTCATGTTCAGGTGAGCCTGGGCACTAATTATGTCCTTGGTCTTGAACTTTCCTTGGCTAATGCCTATCAACATTTTATGACTCACTTAGAGGTGTGGCTAAACTGCAAATGTCCCAGGGCTGAGTAAATACCATTAAATCTCAGAAGCACATTGCAAACCATTTACTCAGGCCTGATAAAGAGGCTCTTGGTGCAAGTTTCTTGGGCTGTTAATACATCTAAGCATTGTTCCACTCAGGAGTAGGTGTGAAAGACAGAACTAATTCTTTGGGATTTTGTAAACCTAGTTTTGAACTAAACTCCCTGCTCAATCACTGTTTAACACTCATTCATCTTGTGAATTGTCTTGATTCCTTGAATCTTAAAGATAAAATTCTACTTTACATGAGTTTGTGTATTAATTGATTCAAAAAGCTCCGCAGTTCTCAACTGATTATTCAATCATTTTTCCAGTGAGTCAATTTGCACCAACACACATTTGCACCAACACACATTTGCACTAACACACATTTGTGCTAACACACATTTGCAGTAACACACATCTGCACTAATACACATTTGCACTAACACACATTTTGAAGATACTGATTTAGTGTTTGTTTCTATCTGCATGAGAGCAACTGAATATAGTGCAACTGTGATCACAGCATAGTATTTATTTCTGATTGCTTTTTAATATGGGTAGATGTTTCTGGATTGTCTCCATGTTTATAAACCTTGGTCAAGGAGCTGCTCAAATTTGTATTACATTTATGTTCTAAAAGATAGTTTAATCCTTTTCTATATTGATTTTTGAAAAGTAATACATCTATTAAATAGAAGCTTTTCTCAACACATTTTCATATAAATTTGAAGATAGTTCTTGGAATAATAATATTTTTGACTCTTGAATTCAATTTTTCAGTGTGTAAAGAGATATACTTAAATAATTTAATTATATTGTCAAATTATAGTTGTATTTACTGTATAGCGGTATGACTTTTGAATATAATAAGGCTCAATTACGGAATATAATTTAATATTTGGAATGAAATGTTAGAAAATTATTCTCTTATCAATATCATGTCCACAGAATTCAGGTAATAGCTATGCTCACCACACTGGACTATTGAATTGAAAGCAAAAGTCAAACAATTCATCTGACTTGATCGATTTCCATCACCTCCCAGTCTCTGTGGCCGGCCACCTTTCTCATTTCTGATCCTCTGAGAAAATCCTCTCCATTTTCACAGATGAATAAATACATAGAATATTTGTCCTTTTGCTTTAGACCTATTTCACTCACCCTCCAAATCCAACGATGTTTGTGTAAAAGACTTTTCCTCTTCAGGAAGTCTGGGGAGAGTGTACAGTGGAGTCTGTGATGTGGTGTTCCGAATCCACACGTGTTATCTTGGGAGGTTCAGGGTGTCTATGACTGACACCTGTCACTGGTGCTGAAGCATGGGAGTGCCGACATGTAGGCTTCCCGACCTCAGATATGTCAGGTCAATATTCAGACTGGGATTTCTGGTAATCCAACTTTAAATTCCTATTATTTTTTATAATGATTGCACTAATTTAGCTATTTCCTAAGTGTGCACCCTGACGTGAAAGTTTTTCCTTCTGTCTTCTTGGTATTAGCCTTCAGCTGGGAAAGGATATCTCTGAAGACTTTGCATTTGGAGCCTGTTCTGGTATATAGTGGCCTATTATTTGTATTTTAATAAATACATCTTGCCTGAAAAGCAGAGGCAAAGCTAAAGCCACTGGAGGTCAGGTAATGGTGACACACACCTTTAATTGCAGGGTTTGAGAGACAGAGGCAGGTGATTTCTCTGAGTTCAAGGCTACCCTGGGCTACATAAGATCAATGCAGAAACAAATCCAGGTGTTGGTGGCTCACACCTTTAATCCCAGTGGTAGGGAGTCACCAGTCTTTAATCCCAGCACTAGAGGGAATGTTAAATGGGAGGAGAGGGTCTTAGACTGCTCAGTTTGCAGTCACCCAGGGTTGGTAGAGGGAAGACTTCTCTAGTGGCTTTACTGCTTTGCTTTTCTAGTTTTCAAGTTGAACCCCAATTTCTGTCTCTGGGTTTTTATTATTCGTTCTACACTTCTACACCGGCATCTCTTGCCCATTTATATATGTTTTTTTGAGGAAATCTCCTCAGGACCCTGGTCCAGTGGATACACAGATAGCACACCTCCAAGAGCAGACCATCAAAGAGAAGCGAATCCTGCAACGGCAAAAAAACCTCACATGATAAACCTCTTTTACTTAATTTCCGTATCTCTCCAGTTTACAGTGGAAACCAGACATTCCTAGCTACTGGACATTAGAAGTGATATCTAGGTAGACCCAAGAAGACATTCTCGTCAACGCGCACCCTGACAAAGACTCCTTCCTAAGCCCTACTGAGCAGAGATTCTCTGTTGTAATCTTCGAGGTGTTTTCCCGTGACAGTTTTGGTAAGAATTTAAGGACTCTACTTCACTTTAGGTACACAGCAAACAAATTGCACTGGAGGTTCCCGCAGACAGTGACACCTACTGGGCTGAGCCTCACAGTGACTTCTAAGCAAGCTGTGTTCGCTCTCCACTGAGCAAGTCTTTTCTTTTGATGTTCAATCGTTTAATTCAATGTGCTCAGGAGAAGTAATCCCTCTCCCCGCCCCCATCAAAGTCAGTTTCACAGGTTAACGAGCTTTCCTGAGAGCAGACTGGAAATAACTCGCTGGTCTGTAGATTTACGAACCCCAGGGCCGGCACGATAGAAGCCAGTATTCTTAAAAACAACACAAAAGCAAAACAAAGACAGACAACAGCCAACAAGAAAAAGAAACATGAACTTTCTTACAACTATGTTTTTGGGAGTGTCCGGGAGAGCAAGGTGCTGGAAATAATTCAGAGTCGAAAGGTCAGCATAGTTACTGGCTTCGGGACATTAGGGAAACGCAATAGGAAACAATACTCATAAAAGGTTACACTCCGGAGAGAAGGGAGTAGGTTTCTCTCCTCTGGCTTAAGGAATGTTGCTACAGGGTGAAGACAAGATCCGTGCCCTTTTCAAACGGTAACTCTTTGCCTTAAAAGGATGCAGGGATCCTTCATCTGGCAAAATACTGCTTAGCACTTGGATATTTACAGCCTAGCTAAGCCTGCATGCTTGCCACGAGCCGCGTGGACCCGAGCGTCAGAGTGCGCCCCGCTAGCGTTCCTTGCGAAAGGCAGGACAGCCTGGCAGAGTCTAGCCTGCAGCAACGCCTTCCCGCGCAGAGCCAGCCTGTGCTCCGCCCTCCCTCCCGGCTCCCTGCCACCGGCGGCCGGGCGCTCCCTGGGTGGGGCGGCGGCCCGAGCAG